TCTCATAATTTAAGTAGCATACGAAAGTACACATCATTTTGAACGCAAATAAGGATGCGTATGTACTTATGCGTTTAGAGTTTGGTGGTTTACAAGGGAACCATTAGCTGTGATGTTTTTTTTAAATTATCATATAAGTGGAACTTTTAAAGACCAAGATCAGCATTTTTCAATCTTGGCATAATCTGTGATAATATAAGATGGCATAGTAAGATATACGGTACTATAACAGTCATTCAACGGATACTCCCCTTTGGATATCTATGTAATTAAGGCTAAATTAAAAGTAACGAATGTGTTAAAATTAGCTAAGTCCAAGGTGCACTAACTGCACTGGTAAAAAAATCAGCTAAAGCTGGATAGGATTAAAGCATCACCAGAAACTAGTATGTAAACCGTTAACCCCTTTAAAGCAATAGATCGTAGAGATGTGCGGAGCCAGCTGAGCGATCACATTACTTTCTGATACGTAGAAGATGCTGCCGCATAAATCCGGTTAAAAATATTTATCAGAATTCTGTATAATTATTTAATAGTGAGGATAAGGGGTGATCAGGAAAATTTTAATTGCAAAATGAGATTTATAATCAAGCACTTACTAAAATTTAACTTTGTTTCTACTGCCTCAAGAGTTATTATAATTTATTTTGCTGAATGAATACAAATACTCCAAACATTACATTAAAATATGCACACAGAATTCATTTTGATGACATTCTACCAAGTAGTTTTTATGAAATTTTTCCCGTTTAGTTGCTTTTGGAGCATTTAGAATGTCTTGTCGCTAGGCATGAAAGGTCTCTGCGCATGACCGTAGTCAAACGTCAGACCTCGGGCCTTGGAATAGGCCTTTTCATGAATAGTGGAGCTCAGGCGGACGCCATAGCCGTTGGCGGTGGTGCTGCAGGAGGTATCGTCAATGGAGAAGGTGAAAAAGCTGTCACCAGCCTCGTGGGTGGAGGCGATGCTGGAGGAAACGGGACAACCGGCACCATTGGCGCCGTTGGAGGCGGTGGTGGTGGAGTGAGTTCGGAAGTCGAAGTTCTAAAGGCTCTCAAATCTTTATTTGAGCACCACAAGGCACTGGACGAAAAGGTGCGACAGCGTTTAAGGGTCACGATAGATCGTGTGAGGCAGTTGGAAGAGGAACTAACCTTGGCCCATCGCCGTCTTGCCGGAGAGGATTTTGCTCTGGAGGCCGAGATTAAGAGCCAAGTAGATGGCGGCCAGTATGGAGAAGTAAGTTTTCTTTTCCGTAATCAAATAATTATTACTAAATATGTAACATTTCTGATGGAACTTATCAATCCCCCATTGAAAGAGTGCTCTCATTCACCTGATAAACGAAATATTTGATAAGGGTCCAGACCATGGATACATTTGGTTTCCCACCCACCAAAAATAA